TCAGCAGTTGCTTTTGAAGTTTCAAAAAAAGGTTCGCCACGAAAACCCCTAAGCAATGCGGAGTGAGCAACATCAACTCGTGCTCCCCTCCTCCTCCTCCTCCTCCTCCTCCTCCTCCTCCTCCTCCTCCTCCTCCTCCTCCTCCTCCTCCTCCTCCTCCTACTCATCCTCCTCATCATCATCCTCCTCCTCATCCTTCTCCTCCTCCTCCTACTCATCCTCCTCATCATCATCCTCCTCCTCATCCTCATCCTCATCCTCATCCTCATTCTCATCCTCCACCTTCTCCTTCGCCTACTCCTGCTCCTCCTCCTGCTCTTCCCCCGCCTCCTCCTTCATCTTGTTTCGTCATTTTGCTTCTCACCGTCCCCCTCCTCCTCTTCCTCTTGGCTTTGCCGTGCTGGTGGCTTGGACTGAACTATTGGACAGACGTTGTAGCCTCAGCAAAGAGCTGTTTTGCGGTGAGAACACATGTTCACTCAGCAAGCCGCCTGGGGAGAAGGCTCCTTTCCCATCGCGGTAGTCAAGATGCATGTCTGCTACGTGAGAGTGACTTGCAAGACAGGACAAACTCACGGCTGGGATCAGCATATCCCGACCTCTCTGTGGGAGAAGGTAGGCAGTCTGACAAGTGAGCTGGTTTCTAGCTCACCATTACCAGATGTTCATCGCTTCTTCGTCTGCTGTTGGAGCGCTCAGGAATCCTGGTATTCACGTCTATAGACGGAGGTGCTCTTGTCACATTATTCCACTTATCAGAGAGGGCGGATCTTGTTGCTGCTCTAGGAGACACTACGGGAGTCCCAGGTTGACTTGAGCCTTGTCACTGCTCTCGGACTGACTTGAGATCTTCACATGTCAGCTCTAAGGAACATACGTCGTAGAATGCTCAGCGATGAGTCGGGCAGGCAGATTTTGAAAGAGAAACGTGAGCTGTTGCCTTCTGTCGTATCAAGTCGTGCGATTGTTCACTGACTTGCGTTTGCAGCTATCTTGAGAGATTTCGTTGAGCTTGAAAAGATGGGCTCATACAAGGAGGGGAGGTACATCAAATTTCGACAGAATGCTGCTTGCACTCGCATGACAGTGTGCCAGTCTGGGAAGAGCTTACTTCGAATTCATGAGCTCTCGTGGGTTTTCACCTCAAGAACGCCCATGCGTGAGGTCCTACTAGTTGATGATTGAAATGAAGCCCTTGACCTTCCGTTGCAGGTTTGTGGACGATCCCGAGCTAGCGTACATCATGCTGCGATACAGGTCCGACTGTGTCAAACGGCTTCCTTGTCTTGTTCGGCACTCACATGGGCACAGAGAGGTTCACGACTTCGTGCATGTCCTGACGGGGTTGGGAACTTCAGTAGAGGGAGAGATAGTGCAGGTGAGGACAGAGGATGAGATACGGACACGGACAGGGCGAAGGGGCGGGGGGCGGGGGGCGGGGAAAAAGATTGCTGACGCTGGTAACGTATAGAAATGGTTCGAGCTTCTTCAGACGGGACTTCCCGTCTGTCTCCTCAGGTACACAAGTTCCCCTCCAGCCCTTCCCTGGCGTCTCCTCACCATGACTGCAGCGCCACCGTCGGGCCGTTGAGGATTTCAGTTTCCGACAGAGTTCGATTAGCGACAGAGTGGGTGCCATGGGCGCTGAGGGCGTCAGTGCAGGTAAGGCCCCTTGTCTTGCGGCGACTTGCTAGTGCGGGGTGATGTGGAAGGATGTCACAAGATGCGATGCGCTTGGTACGAGCTTTTCTTTCAGCGTGACCTTCTTACGTGACAGGTTCCCTTCTTCATGAATTTGTATTATGAGAAACTTCTCGATCGCGATATCGAAAATGTGAAAAACTTTCCCTTGAGTTTCACTTTGCCGTTCTGACGGAGGGCCGCAGTTGAGGCGTGAGCTGGACGTGCCTCCGCTTCCACATGGAGCGCCATGAAACCTTTTGTAGTTTACACTCACTTCTCTTGACGGCTGATGGTTTGATGTTGACCGATATCTTGCCTACTTCTTGTCCTTCAACAATGCGAAGGTGAAGTCTCCCTGTTCTCAAACACGTCAAGAACGACATGTCTCATCCAGCACTCGCTGCTACCTCAACAGCAACCTTGCCATCAACGTATCCCTTGCCCTGAGACATCACAAAAAGCATAAGGAAGCACGATCATCATCGTCTCACAAAGCTCCTCACGCTCATCTTGCAAATCCCGAACTTCTTCTTGTAGTTGGTCACATGCATCTCCATCACGAGCACGTCGCCGGGAACGAGCGGCTTCCTCCACTTGACGTTGTCAACGCCGCCGAAAAGAAAGTCTTGTCCTGGCTCAGCGAGAGGAGGCTGTGAAAGCTTATCAGCCCCGAAAGTGTCAACAAGGCTCCACCTGAAGGGCAACGATGCCGCCGAGCTGGGCCATGGCCTCGATCTGCATGACGCCAGGCATGATGGGGCGGTCAGGGAAGTGGCCGGTGAACTGAGGCTCGTTGGCGGTGATGCATTTGACCCCGACAGCCATTTCGCCGGGAACCAGCTTCAAGACCTTGTCGACGAGGAGGAAGGGATACCTGTGAGGGGTCAGAGAGAAGCTGAGAGAGGAGATGAGGAAGTGTGCGAGAGAAGTTTTGACCTGTGGGGAAGGATCTTCCTGATGTCTCCGTCCATGAGGACCGCAGGAGGGTGTTGGAACCCTTGTGAAAGCGCCTCGGCATCCGCCCCGATCACCTTCGGCGCCTCTGCCTCTCCTGCCTGCATGCGAGGACCAGCAAGACGGAGGGAGGGGCGAGCAGACGTGGTGAGTCTGGCAGGGCTGGAGGAGGGGAGCGAGGGGGAGACGAGGAAGGCCGACGAGGAGGCGGCGAGCGACAGCATTGCGATTGCGCGCATCATGCAGGATCAGAGGGAATGGGGGCTGAAAGAGCACAACAGGTGGTAGGGTGGTCAGCAAAGGGGTCATGCAGTTGAGGGTAGGGTCTTTATATGAATGGAATCAGGGTGGGGTACAAAACAATATCTGATGACCCACCCTTATCATACTTTAAAACAGCTAATCTCACCGGTGGTGTACTTTTGAAGGAGAGGGTGGGGTGTCGTGAGTGATTGTGCGGATCCAGGGGGAGAAGGGTGGGTTTAGGGTTCATATAAAGGGACTAGCTGTGAGACCTGGTGACCCACACCCTGATCGGTGGCCCCGTGCCGGGGCCCGCCGCCTGTCAGTGTCGGAGTCGGGGACACGAGTCATCACATTCGGCCCTTGCCGTAGTAGTGTCCTCGTACTGATTTTTGACTTAACTTTGAGTAAACAAGTACCTGGTACCCGTGTGCCCGGCAGTAGTAGTACTCTGTGGCTCCGAGGTTGTCGAGGCTGGAAGGCTTTGTATTTGCTCACTGAGTGACTAACTTGGAAGCAATTTCTTGTTGCTACTCTAGTTCCATCCGCTGCCGGTGAAGAAGGGCGATCCGACGATCTCGCGGCAGAGCCTGTGCCAGAGAGAGTCAAGCAAGAATTGAGGCGAGCTCGGAGGACCGCCAAGAACTGACTGCGATCGCTGAAAGAGAATGTGGAGAACTGATTGTAAAGATTTTCCAGCTCCTGTCACGAAAGTATTTGAGAAAGAGGAAGGGCGATGGCGATGACAAGGCAAGTTCGGCAAACCTGATCTCTGACCTCCAACGCCATCTCCTCGTCTCGGCCCACTGCTGACTGCAGTTGCTGGTTTTCTTCCCCTTCGTCTTTCCTGGAAGCATCAAAATCTCACTGAGACGACTCTTGATCTAGCGCAGACTTACTTGACAATGGCCACTTTGATCTTCCCCACGCCACTTGCATCCGTCGCATCTGCGTCCTCCATGCTGTACGAGCACTCTGACGCCATGGCGAGGTTCAAGTCGTTTAGCCTGGGGCCTTGCTCGTGGGTCAGCTTCATCCGAGCTGCCGACGACTGGCTGTGTGTCAGGATGTACTTGTACGAGCCGGCATGGCGCCGCCCCTTGATCGGGATGGGGGGGGCAAGAGACTCGGCCCTCGGCCCGTAAGTCGCATCATGACTAGTCTGCGACGTCTTGCGGAAAGGCTCGTACAGCTCCTGCCGAGCTGCCTGGCCTAGGAATGGGGCAGGCTCGGCTGACTTGCTTCTGAAGCGAAGGAGGGGGCCAGGCCATCTGTCTCGGACATGGCGGGGAGATCTGTCAAAGTCCGTGGGTGACTTGTTGAAAACAGATCTTGCTTCCTCTGACAGCCGCGATGAGGTGGTGAAGTAATCCTCAGCCTGCTGTTTGACATGTCACTGATGAATTGCAAAGATGCGGTGGAAAGATGTGAGATTTCAGCAGAAAACAAAAATCAATAAGAGAGTCTTGAGTAGAAACAAGCAACATGGAATCATCGATGAAACAAGGAATGTAGTAATCTTCACTTACCGACGCTTTGTTGATTTGAAATTCATCTGGGAAAATTGAGAGATCACTGTAACTGTGACGTAGGGAGGTATTCCATTTGGAGTGCGGCCCTTTAAAAGTTTCTCTTTTCTTTTCTGCTTCTTCCCTCATTCCTCTTTCGCCGTGAGGGCTCCTGCCATACTTGTTTCAGTTCTCTTCCTGTGGCCCAACAATCAGTCAAGCACCGCACAGAAACCAAGTCGTCACGGAGGCTATCCGGGAGAAACATGTCGGGGGAGGTGTTCCTATGAACGCCTCGATCTGAGAGCATGTGCTTGCTCTCCATGTACTGCCTGCAGCAACAGCATCATCATCATCACACATCTGAGCTGTCGCCTACATGAATCTCGAGTTTCTGCCCTTCCATTCTGAATCTCGGGCTGAAAAGTACAAACCTGATGGCGGCGGGTCAGGTGAGAAACTGGCAGCTCATCAATCAGCTCACTGAGAGACGACGAGTGACCGACATTGCGCAGTCCCACCACTCGATCGCGAATCTGGTCAGTGCTAGGAGGGAGGTCACGGGAAGGCGAGGAGGACGAAGGCGGATGATGCGATGAGATCCGTCTCTCTCGGTGGTAGCGGAGGGACGAGAAGTCAGCTCGACCCGAGCTGGGCTGTCTCGACTCCTTGTCGTCCTTCCTAAGAGCGGACGCAACGTTGTGCTGGTACCTCAGCTTCGTCATTTCGAACTCGCGGTACCTCATGGAGCTTCGGATCTGCTCTACCTTGACCTCGTGACCGTCGGACCCGAACTTGCGGCTGATGAGCTCCCTGCGGTCCTTGACTCTCTCCAGGTAGTCGGAGATGCTCCTATCCTTCCCCAGCCGCAGCATCTCAACCCCCTACCCCATGATCAGTCTACCAGCAACCTGCGGTGCGTCAACTTTTGACGTTTTTTTTGTTCATGCTACTGCTCTAAAAAAACTCTCAGTCTAGTAGGCTACCGTAGTACACTTACAGGCTCGGTCACCACTACGGACACCAGCGAAGGCCTGCCATGGCTTTGAGGTGATCCTGTTGATAATGCTTGGAGTATCGATGGTGATGGTGATGATGATGGTGATGGTGATGGTGATGGTGATGATGATGGTGATGATGATGGTGATGGTGATGGTGATGGTGATGGTGATGGTGATGGTGGTGGTGATGGTGATGGTGATGGTGATGATGATGGTGATGGTGATGATGATGATGATGGTGATGATGATGGTGATGGTGATGGTGATGGTGATGGTGATGGTGGTGGTGATGGTGATGGTGATGATGATGACGACGACGACTGGTCTGACCGTCACAAAGCATGAGATCACTCATTTACTTGTTAACATAAACCAAACATTTCCTGTAGCCATCTCATCAAGCAGTAATCTCGCGGAAACAAGACTTACTGCAGTTTGCCCCTCGTAGTCGAACGCATCGCTTGTGATCACTCAAGACTTTCCCCAATGCTCGCGTCACCTGACATCATGGTTCATCGAAGCTGCTGGTCCCTCCACGGCTCACCTGCGTTCGGAACGGATAAACCTTGTGGTATGAAGCGATCTTGGGCACTCGTGACAAACAGTCAAGCGCTCTGCATCGGACCTGATGCGGTGTAAGCAAGACCAATGTGAGAGCAACTAATGGCTGACTATCAGAGACTCGGAGAAGGAGGAGCAGTCCAGCAGCGCCTGGATCAACGTAGAAAGCTGATGACAACAGTCACCACCACGTGAAATTCAGTCACGCTAGTAGCCCACCTGCCCCTCCATGAAGCTCGTGCTGTCACTGCCAGGGTTCGGCTTCGAGTCTTGATCGATGAAACTGAAGAGAAGTTCAAGGGCAGCAACTTTCGTCTCCTTGGCCGGGCAGTTGAGCGCCTGTCAGACTTGCGTCAGGAGAAGCAGCAGCATGGCTTACCAAGAGGAGGAAGGCAAGGGATTGCGAGGAGGAGGAGTGGGATGAGAGAACTGGTGAGGGGGAGCGGGAGAGGGAGGGGGAGGCACCTGGACAAGGAGAGGGATGACTCGAGGAGCTTCGAGCGCGACTGCCTCTACGGGCGTGCCATGGAGGAGATGAACAAGCGCCATCAAGAAGAACTCCTGCGATGACATGAGATGGACGGGGGAAAAAAGAAGTCAGACGTGCCTTCGATCCCGACGATGCCCTCGTGTAGCCGTTGGCAAGGAAGTGAAGCTCCTGCCACCAGCTTTGAGACTGCCCAGCTACACCTCAGCTCGTCCTCACCTGGCTGAAGAACCTCTGCCTCCACAGAGGCTTGCAGATGAAGTGGTTCTGCTTCGAGAAGTCTTTGTCCAGATCTCTCGATCCCAAGACCTGATACCCGATGACCCCATACTTGGCCTGAACACCCAGCAGTCACTGACGCAGCCTGTCACCTGTCACCCACATCGAGCACAAACCTCGTTGCTCTCGGTCAGATAGCCCCGGAAAATTTCGACAATCACTTGCCCTTTCGGGTGCCCACGGCAGACCAGAGCCTTGGCGATCCATGCGAGGAATTGGTTGGCTGACCACGCAAACTTTTCCTCCTTGACTTTGGGTAGGAGAGTTTGCTCTACTATGAACTGATACATGCTCTCAAAAACCTCGCCGTCCAGCTTGTTCATCACACTCGCCACGATGCTCTTCCTGCAGTCTCCCGGGTCCTCTTGGGAGAAGTCAAACCCGTCTAGCAAACTTGCGGCCAAGTTCCTCACAAACCCCCGCTTGCTTTCATCCAAGAATCGCAGGTCTGCATGGACCGCCGACATGAAAACAGACTGAATTATCTTGAGCTGCTCGCAGGAAAAGCCCGACGGAGCTATCGGAGTCGAGTACTTGTCCAGCAGGAGCGACACCAACTCCTTGCTACCTCCCCCCTCACCAACGAGCTCCAGAGTCGCGCGAATCATCCCAGCCAGCGGCTCGAAGCAGCCGGCAAACGAGGAGGATTGGAGCTGATCGCAAGAGAGATCTGCGACTAGCTCGGGAACAATCTTGGTGGCGAAGAGAGAGCCAATGGAGACACACTCCTCCTTGACTGCCACGTCATCTCCTCCACCTCCAGGCGAGACGCCGTTGTGCCTCAGTCTGACCGCGTCAATCACAGACAGCAGACCCTGAAAGATCAGCTTCTGCCTGCCGGCTACCCCTTCCCTCCTCCGAGCCTCCAGGAGAATGTCAAGAGCTGCTCTCGCTACTCTTACACTCACAGCAAACGAGGACCGCAGGACTTCCAGCCCGTGGCCCCATAGCGCATCGTCGTTGAGACAGAGAGCCGTGAAACCAGACAAGGTCGAGATTGCAGCCGGGTGATCCTCCTCCTCCATCATGGCGAGACAACTAGATACCAGCCGCTTGATCGATACCAGACGCTCATCCTGACTGCGGCAGAGAGCAACAAATTCCCCGACCAACATGTCGAAGGCTCGTCTGACATCGTCTTCGCCGCCCATGACAGGGATCAGCTCGCAGATGCTCTGAAGGGAAGTCTGCTTCAACTTTGACGACTCCTCTCCTGCAAAGGAGTCGTGGACGAAGACAGAGGTCAACGTGTCAAAAGTATCCTTTGACACCTCTGACAGGGGATGCTTCCCCCCAGCAGCCGGTCTGCCTTTCATGTACATCCACAGGGATCGCGAGCTCAATAAGATCTCATGGATGACTTGGAGCGCAGCATACATCCGAGCGAAGCCGCTCTCGCCGCCTGAAGCGAGCACAATATCTCTCAACGCGTACAGCGAGTCATGCAGGACGAACTTGGCCGAGACGGGATGAGCAGAAACGGCGCAGAGGACAGTTGAGAGGCCTTTCCTGCTCCGGAGCTCCTGCGGGGTCTTGAGGTCGACCGTCGTCTGCATCTTCAAGGTTTTCATGATGGTGTGCAGGCAACTTGAGCCAGTCGCTTCCTGCCTCTCGTCCCCAACCTCCTCTGCCGCGATCCGTAGAATATGCCGCAGGCAGGACCGCGCTCGTTCTTGGACTTCCTGCTCGCTGCTGTCTACGATCTGAAGGCGGAGGGACGACCAGACCTGCTGGCAGCCATCGTGTCCCAAGGATCCCTGCACTCCATGCTTGGTCGCGAGAGTTGCAAGCAGGTCGAGAGAGTCCAACCTGCAGCCTGTCGACTCAGCCTCCGCGAGCTTTGACAGCGCAAGGTCCAAGGAGAAGGGGATGAGCAAGAAGTGACAGGTCATGCACTCGAGCAGAGCTTCTCGCAGCATGTCTGCTGAGATCCCAACCTTGTCGTCCGGGGGAGGAGTGAAGGTGATGGGGAAGTAGCAGGAGAACACGTTGAAGAAATCCTCCGCCTTGTCCTTGTTCGTGAGGAACTTAGCAGCTATCCTTGGGATCAGCCTGAAGCAGAGCAAGAGGTTCCTAGGATCCCTCTCTCCGTTCATGCATTGCACCCAACACTCAAGAACATCCACATCCTGCTCGCTCAGGGGCAACTCCAACCTCCCCAGCGCCTCCTCCACTAACCCGAACGCCTTGTGTCGGTCACTGAGGGCAAGAGACTGTACGTGCACGTACTTCAAGACGCCGACGACGGCATGCGTCGCTGCTCTCCTCAGATCATCGCTGAGAGGCCCATCCAGGGACTCTATCAAGAGCTTGAGGCCTCGCAGAACCTCCTTGACGCAGGGCTCGTCTTGCAAGCGATCTCCGTAGAACTGGATGAGGGAGCTCTTCGACTGGGGATCGGAGACGGGCTGAGCAAGGAATGAGTAAGAGTGAAGAAGAGGAGAGGAGGCGAGTGTTACAGATGCTGAGATGGCCTCGTTAAGGAGCTGTTCACCCGCGTCAGTGTCAAGTTCGGTCCGCATGCCACGGTCACCATGATGCCTCGATTCCGAACTTCGTTGTTTTCATTGGTGAGCGCTGACTGAGCCTGTTCCACAACCCTCAAGATGGTCAAAGACTTCCTGAGAAAACGAGAAGTCAGTCAGCAGAGGACGTGAGACTTGCAGCGAAACCCTTTCAGCTTCTCTACAATGCTGGCCAAACAACGCTCTGGTAACAAATTTAGGTATCAACAAACATGAGCGTCCAAGTTAGAAACTTCAAGATTAACCTGCGGACTTCTGCTCTGCAGTCAGCGAACAGAATTCGTCGATCTGTCCCCTCAACTCCTCCATGCGCCAGCGTGTTCTAGCGCAGCAGACAAGTCAGCCAACACGTGACGCTGGTCGGACATTTCTCTCAACAAATCCTTCCCTCCCCTTGCTCTGCTCAAGCCTATTCAGCTGTCGTCCACTTACAGCATTGCTTCTGTTTCTACCATGCTCTCCTCTTCCTCTTACTTCGCTCATCTTCCCCCTCTGTCCTCTGGCCCTCGCCACGGTCCTCTACCCCATCCCCGCACGCAAACTGCATGGAGGCAGCAAAAGAATTGATACCCCTGAAATAGAGAAGAAATAGCTGCCCTCCTCGTACAGAAATCCTTGCCCACCGAAGGCGATGCCGTCAACACCATGTGCTTGCAGAAGAAGAGCATCGTGAAGGGGAACCTCTGCAACATGGTCATACAGAAGATATGCAGCATCGTCCACATCCCAAGGTCAAGAGATACTACTCACACATCTCTGCGAAGCTGCACATCTTCAGCGTGTCCCAGTACGAGGCCGTGCTCTTCTTAGACTTGGACACGATCTGAAGCAGCTCTTCGAGATGCACAAGTCAAGCATGCTGAGTCAAGGCAAGACCATAGCATGGAACAGGGACCGGGACCCTTGGTCGAGTGCAAGTGTGAAGTTACTTGTAGCTGCGCGTGGGTCAGGTCTGTGCCATAGACCCGGTTGATGACATCCAAGGGGTCGATGCTAAGAACGTCATACTGATGGTCATACTGGTTGTATGACTGATCAAACAGCCGTCTTATATGGGCTGTGTCGCTCCAAGGGGCTGTCGCTCCAAGGGGCTGATGGGACTGCCTTGAGGATCATCTCGGGCCTGACCACGTTGCTGGCCAGCAGGAGGGCAAACACTTGCAGGGCCAGGATCATCAGCATGACGAGGATCAGGAACCAGAGCGATTCGGCGGTGATGGGGTTCCTGCGAAGCGTGAAGGGGTCTGGTGTCTCTTATGCGTTCTTACTTGTATTCTTAACTGCTCTCTTTGGCATGATACCCCATTATATGTTGTGTAACCAATGCTACAAGTGATCTTGGAACGATACAAGAAGAAGCTGCACACAGTTGAGACGGAGATTGCATGATCATGCTGGTTGTTTCTTGGTTGTCTTCATCTTCCAGTGGACGGTGTTGGTCCTCCTCTTGTTGGGTTGGTTGCCCGGTGGTTGGGAGGAAACTTGGCGAGCAATGTTCGTCTGGCGCTCCAGGCCAAGCGCTGAGCTGGGAGATAGGTGGGTGCAAGGTGGGGGAGACAAAGGCAAATGAATGCATCTCATCATCGTCGCGATTCAAAGAGAGCAAGGACCTGAAAACCATCGTCAATGTCGACCACCTGATGTTCCGTAAGCGCATGGCTGCCAATTGCCGGGCCTTGTATCCTTACAGGTTCAAAGATAACATTGAAATGAGGATGATGGATTTGTTGGAGCAGAAGACCTTGGTCAAGGTCGATATCGGTTTTGCAATGGAGACTTCTATCGACTACTTGAGCACGTTTGCAAACGCCTTCTGATCCTGGCAGCATCTATCTGTCTCTCGTCGGAGTCACAGGCCTTCCTGTGCTTCCGAATACTTCACCTCCATCGACTCCTTTAGCTCGTTCATCGCCGTCTTCTGATCCTGGCAGCATCTGTCAGTATCCTCTCAGACCTTGCTGTGCTTCAAGGTCGATATCTGCAGTTCAAGGTCGATATCTTCGTCCTCCATCATCGCAGGGTGGTCGTGACTCCAGGGTTATCTTCGTCCTCCTTTGTTTGCTCCGGTTTGCCTTTCTTTTTCAGTCAATAAAAGCTTCTCCGACTTCCTTCAGAGCCTGCAGAGGAGGGACGAGACGATGTTGCGCGATACAATGCAGTACGAGAGTTTCCCACGACAGTTGAATATGAGAAGATGGTGTTTGCACCGTGACTCGCCAGCAGCTGATGTGGCGGTTGAGAGGAGGGAGACCGTCCGAGTCATCGTGACTCAAAGGAGTCTTGACAAGGATCGGATGTTGCTCGTAAGACTTGGTCGAGCAAATCAGTTGCAAATGAACGTCAAAGTACTTTACTCAATGTTAAGTTAAATCAGTACGGCTGATATGTGCATCAGTACAATCTGACCCTGCCAGCGAGATCGATCTGGAGATCTACCTCAAGTGTGTTGGGGATGAGGGGGGAAGGAAGGAGCAAGGGAAGGACCTACCTGGTAGAGGCAAGTTCCGAACGTCAGGGGGACATGGCAAGAGCGGGAAGCAAGCTGAAGACAGGGGAGGGAGGAGAGGAGGAGGGGGGAGAGGAGAGGAGGAGGGGAGAGAGGAGAGAGAGGAGGAGAGAGAGGAGGAGGAGAGAGAGAGAGAGAGAGAGAGAGAGAGAGAGAGAGAGAGAGAGAGAGAGAGAGAGAGAGAGAGAGAGAGAGAGAGAGAGAGAGAGAGAGAGAGAGGAGAGGAGAGGAGAGGAGAGGAGGAGGGGAGAGAGGAGAGGAGGAGGAGGAGATGGAGGGAGATAGAAAGAAGAGGAAAGAGAAGGAAAGGGACGAGAAAAAGTAAAAGGAAATGAAGGCAGAGAGAAAGGAGGAGGACGGGAAAGTGACGAGGCTCACCAGCAGGGAGGCTCCGAGGAAGACGAGGAGAGCGTTGTGCGGAGAAAGCTCCTGCCCAAGATGTAGCGACCGGCGCTTGCCCACCAGCATGGAAGCGATGAGGCCGGACACCCCAGCACTTACATGTACCACGTCCCCTCCTGCGAAGTCCAGACATCCTGCCTCTTCCAGGAACCCGCCAGGTCCCCATGCCCAGTGCGCGACGGGACAGTAGACGAGGAGATGCCACATGGCGATAAAGATGAGCATGGCGCTGTAGCGCATCCTCTCAGCGAAGGAACCGCAGATGATGGCGGCGCTGCCGTGAGGGTCAGTCATACTCTGCTGCTCGCTCCGAGCGGAACCTGATGACGGCAAAGGTCATCTGAT